TGCCCCCCCCCCCCCCCCCCCCCAAAGAAAGAATATGGCGCGCGCTGTCCATTTTTAACCGAATGCAACTTGTTTAATCCATGAATCCAAATGAAAAAAAATGTTACTTTGCAGAAATTGATGATTATAGAAGTTTTGACCCGGAAGAATATTTAAGAGCTCGAGAGGAAAATGAATATGGAATGTTTGACTTAGATGGTTTTTATGAACGAACATACGATGAAGATTTCGGCTCTCCGTATGATGAAGACTTCGGCTCTCCGTATGATGAAGGTAACAATATCATCTGATTAGATTACCATTAGTCCGTGATTCACTTACCACAGAAAATAATTAAAGGAAAATTACTTCCTAGAATGATTATAAATTTAAATTCCCTAATTTGGTCAACATGAGTGCTATATTATATTCATCAGTGAACTTACCTGGTGTCATAACTTTTAACAGAATCCTTGTTTACGTATGATTTTATTCCACCAAACTGAGAAATTATTTAAAAACGTTTAGAATCTTTTTTTTTTTAGTTTTATGGATAATTACTTATTTTTATGGAACAGTATTTGTAATTTTCATACCGTTTTTGCTTTTTCACTTTATTTTGCCAATTGCATAATGCTTTTTGAAACTTTATTTCTAGATGATAACGAAAGGGAAATGAGAGACTTTTTTGAAGAATTAGCCAAGGCAGAGCTAGGCAATGGTATATATATATGTTTTTTAATTGAATTTTTGCTTCATTCCAACTAAATAGCGGATAATAAAATTGCCATGTTAGGCACTCACAGATGAAGACAAAATAATTGGAAGCCTAGAATACACAAAAAGTCATTACTATACGACCATACTTTATGTAACAAAATATTGTGCATACATTGTTCTTTTTCTTTTATTCAGATGCACAGAAGGAGCTTCCCTCAACAGACAAACGTCACAAAGATCACGATCATGACCACAATCATGATCATCACGATCATGACCATGATCACGATCATGATCATGATCATGATCACCACCACCACTACGATCATCACGATCACCATCACCATCACCGTCATCACGACAATTTCCATCTACCATATTATTTTGAAGACTTGATAGAAAGGAGTCACTGTTTTGATTTTGCATACGTTTTTGGACATCATCTCTTAAAGTTTCCGGATATATCTAACTTTGGTAATTTCTTTTTTCTGAATTTGAACGAGATTGAAATCGCATGTATTTGTGCACCATCTCATTGAAATTTAGATGACAATTTCGTATCTTTTTTCGTATTTAATATTTTTTATCTATATTGTAATCTTAACTAATCAAGGGTTCGATATCCCACAATTCCTTATTTTATCAAGAAACGGTTCTACAGTCATGCCACGCTTTGATAGAAAACTTCTTCCTCTTAGATTACAATATAGAATAAAAATACCAAAACAAGAAATTTACGAAACTGTGATCTAATTTTAATCAGAATTGGAGAGTACATACTCAGTTATTTTATATATACTGTAACTGCTGGTGATACAAGGTTAAGCACAAGTTAATAATACTACTCATGAAGTAAATATTTTCCCCTTTACAGTACGAAATACAGCTGTATTTGATCTTGGATTTTCGGACATTGCGGAACAAGCTATCACAAGTTTGCGACTGGTTCCACAACCTCGTTTGGTTGCTAAAGAAATGATGCACAGATTGGTTGTTCGTATATTAAAAGATTTAGATGGATGCCCGGCTACTAAAGTCCACCAAGCAATTGTTTGTAAGTAATAAAAATTCGTACAAGCAAGACAATTTCAATTTTTGTTTTTGTGTTTCTCGTAATAGCTTATTGGAAATATGACTTGGCAAAAATGACAACTATTGTTAAACGTAAGTATGAAATAAGTCATTAGATTCCTAAACATTGCTTTCATTGCACTTGGTTCAAATTTGGTAAACTTTGGAGTTAAATGGTATACTTGAGCCTTTTCCCTAAAAGGGACAGGCGCGCCCTATTTGTATCCAATCGCACTTTAGTCCCAGAAAGAATTTTTTTTTAGCTAAGCCAATCAGTAATAGTGTTTACAGCTCACCGTCGAAATTTGAGCCTTCCAATTTATATCTCCACCCTGGTCTGACATCTTTTAAACAATGATGCCCGTTATCTGCCAAAATTTCCAAAACTTAATTTCTTTTCAGATGGATTGTCTAAGGCTATGGAACAGTATACCACTAAGTATAGAGACCAAATCTGCCAATTTAGCGATGACCTGGATGCAGTTTCGACATACATTGGTCCAAAGCGTGTTTTTGATGAATTTAAACGAAACATATTTTATCAATTGATGGCTATGATCTCTACTGCTGGATATGAAGGTGAGACCAAGAACCTATATGTTTCAGTAAAATAAATGAAAACCTTAAGAACTTTGATGCTGGTGCTCTTGGCACATTTTATTCCATTTCTCGAAAGCTGATTTTAAGAATAGTCAAAGGCCTAACCCAAACAATATTTTTCACCCACGTTTCAATGAAAACCTTGGTGCTTATGCTCATAGGCACGTTTCATTTTTTGAAAGCAGACTTTAGATTTTTGACTGTTAAGGATTCGAGAGACTAGCGAGTATTCTTTTTGTAGACTTGTTTGAAGATTTGTCAGAAATGGAAGACGGACTAGAAGAGAAACTAAGCACTTCTTTAAACGAAACCAGGCAACTAGCTATCGGCGATCTTGAACCACTGATGACTGAACATTTAAAGCCCACTCTTGGATGTCAAGATGAATTAAGCGTTCACGAGTTGATCAGGACCATTCACACCAAATTGCAGAGTCTGTAAGTAGACACGAAAAGCTCAACGAATGCAAAGTTACTTTTTAAGGATTAAAGGAATTGAAGCGGGTTTCTACAAATTTTGATGTGCATTGTGGACACTGATAGAAAATCTGAAAGGTGCAAATTGTATCAGTGTCCCCGATACACATACAGAATTTAGAATCTTTACGATCACTGTGAGATGGAGACATCTTTTTCAAATCTAATATATTACAATGGCATCTGTCTTGTTATTAAATCGAAGGATTTTGGGTGTGGTTAAAACGTCCTAAATTTTTTAGGATCATTGATCTTGTATATTGAAAATATCAATTTATTTTGCGCTGAAATGTTTTTTTTTTCGCCAAAATGGTCAGTAGTAATCCAAAACATGATCAGCTCACGTTGAGTACATGCATCAAACGAAAGTGATTTATTACTAAACCACCTAATTGATGGTGTCGCCCAAGACGTTGATGGTGTCGCCCAAGACGTTGATGGTGTTGGGTGTCGCCCAAGACGTTGATGATGTTAGGTGTCGCCCAAGACGTTGATGACGTTAGTGTCGCCCAAGACGTTGATGGTGTCGCCCAAGACGTTGATGGTGTCGCCCAAGACGTTGATGTTGGGTGTCGCCCAAGACGTTGATGATGTTAGGTGTCGCCCAAGACGTTGATGACGTTAGGTGTCGCCCAAGACGTTGATGACGTTGATGGTGTTGATCTTTACTTTCACATTTTAGAGTTAATGGTATTCCTCTAGACGAAATCTTACCTGAGGTACAAGGACCAATGGAACCCTATTTTGATAACTCGACAATCTATTATGTAGCCCGTCTCATCCAACAAGTCGGAACCCCATTAGTTAATGAAATCATGAGTGTATATGGTGCTTTTGTAAACAATGACGTAGACTTCCTTCTTAATAACCAAATCATAGGTAAGATATTATTCCATGTGGAACTTACAATTTTCATATCTTAATGCACACGATAGTATAAAAAAAATTTGGGATTCAGAGTAGTATTTCATTTCTGCTGTAACCTTCTGAATTTTGTATCCCATCATTCTTGGGACTTTTCACCAAAACAGATTTGGTTGATCTCAAAACTACACACTGCAAGCCAGCAGTCTTGTCTTTAGGAATAAAACTTACTTACCACACTATGGTTTGGAATCTTAATCACAAACAGCAAATAGTATGTGCTTTGATTTCCATTGCAGCCACCACCCAATGAGGGTGGGGGACTGTCTTATAAATATATCGATATCGGTAGAAATATTTTTTTTTTCAGAACCCGAAATGAAAGATGGACTTGAAAGAATTTTGGAATTTATTTGTAAGTAGATTTGCTTGACGAGTTGTTCTTGAAGGAATTGAAAATATGCGTTAACGTTGAACGTCTCATGGTTTCTACAAATCCCTTGCTTCGAATTTCGACTCTGGGACTATCTTGCTCATAGGCAGCGTCGCTCATTCGTTTGTAATATAATCGGCACTAGCTAAGGGTCTCTGAGGTTCAATGATCCAGCCTGTGACATTTTGACGAGGGCCCTATTTTTAGACGAGGTAAATATTGAATTTAATATTATTTCAGCAGACATAGACTTGAGTGCAAATGCAAACGTTGATGTGAATGCCACTAATACCCGTTCTGCACCAAAGAGTAAGTACCGTATCCTCTATAATAACTGCATCATTTCAAAGCATATCAGATTTGAGTAAATACTTAAAGACCATGTGTTTCAAATCATTCCATAGCATTACATTAACGTCACATACCATGTACATAAACATACTCGCTATTCTGGATCCACTTGCTTTGGATGTCTTGTTGGGCTTTGTAGTGTTATTTAGGTGAACAGTTGTCTTGATGTAACTAAGTTTCTAGTATTTCAAATCGTTTTTCCTATCAATCTTTGCAGAGAGAAGTGTTAATTCAAATTTATTGCACCGGTTGATCAGCCTTTTGAAAGAAAAGGAGTTATCGCCGCAGATGAAGAGGAATGGTTCTAGTTCCCGAAGTTCAGACAGCACCGATAGTCCTGACGATTACAGCACGAGCACTACTGAAAGTTATAATTCCACCTCCACTAGGGATGCTGGTTATACGAACGAGCCAACTACACCGGAGACGACGATCCTTCCTCAATGTAGAGCCCTTATTGGTGAACAGAATGAATTCCCTAGTCCTAGTCCTTGCTTCAACTTTGGAAGAGCAGTATCCGAAATACTAAGTGGATTTCCAGCAATGGACGGGCAACAGCCAGGTAGCTTCATTTTAGCTAAAATTTTGGCTCTTTAGTCATCCAATGTTCTTTCCTTCTCAACTCGTATAGTATAAATGAAAGCTTTTTTTGTAAGCAGTAAATCGAATCACGCAGCTGCATTCCTTTTATAGTGACATATTGTGTAACTAGACAGTCCGTTTAGCATTTTTTTTTATACGTCTGTACATTTTTATACGATCTGTCGAGCTTGGTTTTTTTTATGCGGTCCGTATAGCTTGGTTTTTATAGGTCTGTATAGCTTAATTTTTATACGATCTGTAAAGCTTGTTTTTTTTATGCAGTCTGTATATCTCTTATTATATGGTCTGCAGAGTTTAGCTGTTATGAATACAGTTATTTTCAGCAACGGAGGTTTCAATAAACCCAGAAGACCTTCAAGGAGCGATAGAACAATCACTGACCGCATACAGAATTTTCAACGATGCAGACTCGTCTGCTAATGTATTGATATTTTCTGTTAGTAAACTGATATTGGAACAGCGAAAGAAATGTCCTGCAACCATGTTGAAGAGAGCTCTTTTCTGTAAGTCTTATCATTTGGTCCCGCATTTCTAAATATTGATGAAAAGTAGGACGAAATTTCATTTCTAAATATTGTTGTCGCACTTTCTGCAGTTGTACCGGGGATCACATTTAGCTTGCATTCGCTACGAAACTTAATATTTATGAGACAATTGAATTTGGTAACATTTTTGTAGTTAAAATTAAGCAACATGAAAATTTTCATTCACTTAAAGGTGGGTTTCCAAATTAAGCAAACTATTTGATTAATTGGTGTTTCTAATGAATTATGCATTTTTAATCATATCTTTTTGTTCTAACTGCATATAATTATGAGTTTTAACCAATCGTAAATGTACGTATAGTCTAGATAAACAAAAAACCTTTCTTGATCGGTCACTCATTGGAATTCTGTTGGCTATTCTCCTATGATTTAGCTAATTATAAATTAATTATGGACATCTGAGACAAACTGGTATTTTTGCAAGTCACTAGAACACCTCTACTTTCTATTCATATAAGTATTAGCATTTTCATTTTCATAAATGAAAGTAAGGGAACCCCTCTTTAATGCTCTGAAATTCCTTTACAATTGATCTACGCTTCCAACACCTGATTCGTTGACAAATGAGCGCACCAGGTGAATTGAATCCTCCAGTAGTTCTGAACGTTTTCAATGCATTAAACCATAGGAAGGTGTTGGCAATTAATGCACTCGAGTAGTGGAAACCTCCGACAGTTCGGCTTAGTTTGTTTTCTTTGGCAAATGCGACATGAACTATATCACTATCACATTTTTTTCTGTGTTTTAGATATCGTCGCCAGATCGTTGGATATTTATGAAAGCGAGAAGCTTGAATCTATACAAGAACTAGCCGAGAAAGTTGGAAATTCGGAATTGGAGCAAGTGATAGATCGATCAAATAGATTTGCCATTGGTTTTCTCTTATCCGAAATACGAGAGCACGCGTTTGCAAGTAAGTATGTTCCACAACCAACCTTATTAGCTCAATCTGGATTAGAAGTCGGTCGAACATAAAATTTGGCTATTTCCCTCGGATATCATTGTTTATTTCACCAGCAGAAACATAGTCTTCCATTTTTATTTTAACCAATTCAACCACCATGTAATTCCTTCAAAAATATCTTAACTGGGAATTTCTTTTTCTATGTCTACATGTCTTTTCAATGGCAGTGACTAAAAAAAAAAAAGACGGCTCGTCTTTCTAATTTTGTAACGCGGATAATGCTGGACACATGGATTTGAAGGCACAAATTACTATATTACTTTAGGCTTCGCTAAAAAAAATTCCCGTTTCTGAGCTAAGGTACGATTGGTCAAAAAAAATGGCACAGCCGTTCCTTTTTAATGTGTAGAATAGCGCATTAAAACCCTTAATTCCCCAGGTATAACTGTTTAAATTGTTTCCATAGATACATCTCACCACATGAGGGATTTATTTGTCAATGTAAGCAAAGTTTTATCTGAACCGAATGTATCTACCAAAAAAATAGAAAGAGTAATTGCAATGGACGAACCTGCAAAATGGACTTTCCAGTGTAACAACCACGTACACGTGCGAAATCTGTTAGAAACTATCAAGGGATCGATTGAACACCTGTAAGATATCCTTTTTCCTTATCCTTAGTTATCAAAATACGGTATGGTTTAGTCTTCAGACCCGCTCCTGTCAAATACATTCAAAGTTTGGTTCTAGACAATGACGACGTATAATTTTCGATTTAACATGTTTTGCAATTCCCAAAACTTCAGTGAACTGTTACAGAGTCGCATTTCGAAAAGAATGAAACTGTTTAATGATTGCTGAATTATGCTGAGGTATCAAGTATCGAAACCTCCACAAAGCAACCAGGTGACATAGGAGTAAATATCAACAACTGCTGTCCAGTGGGCGAATAGCGTATTTGTTATTCTTATACAAAGCCGTGAAGATACTGTATATCTAATTGTATTTTTAGGATCCACGATCACCATCTCCCAATCCCTCATCTGATAAATGGTTTAGAATTGCCAGAACACACCAGGGAACAAGTACAGAAAATTGTGTCCAGTTCCTTAACGGGGTTCGTTGAACGGGTTGATAGTATCTTTATGGCAGTTTTGAAAGACAGAAATTTCCTGGTAGATCAAAACATTCTAAGTAAGTATCACCGCAAAAAAAGGGAATTTACTGGTAAAGCTGCGTAATGGGTATAATAACCTTGTTTTGCTATATCTGTTTTTTTTTAAATTTGCAGTGAGGTACCACAATTTTGAATGTCTAATGTAGGCTTCAGACTTGTGTGTTGAGCAGATATGGCGGGTTTGGCACCAGTCAAAGTATTCTTACTCTTCTAGAAACCGGATACCACTTTCCATTATGAAATACTTCTCACTTATGGTTGATATACTTCTTCATGTGATAAGTTCATTAGCTGCTACAAATGTTTCGTCAAAATGTTATTTTGCATTTCGGGTTGTTTTACGGTTCAGATCGTGGTATAGAATGATGCCCATCCAAGAGATTTACATTGCTCACGAAGACCAGTAATTTAGATTATTTCATTAATTTCTCATTACAGCTAGTGAACAGGTAGACTATTTAGATACAATTATATTTGAAATTGGAGGTGAATTATTGCCCTCATTTGGTAAGTACAATTTATCGGGACGTCCAAAAATTGATTATGATGCTTCGTGTCCTTTATGCATCGTCAAAACGTATTTACTTTATTTTTAATTCGAATCCTGTTAATTAGGCTCTTTGTCGCTAGATGTTATAAAAGAAAGCTGCAATTGCACATTACATGTAAACTAGTGTCCAAAAGAAACGATACCAACTTATTTTCAAAATTGTTTTTTACTAAGTGAATTGTCTAATATGAAAACATGCCAATTCGTATTGCACATCCCAAACACAGCATAGTCGATAAAAATACCGGGAACACGTGATCACTTCCGGGAAAAAACGTAAATTTCGTGAAAGTGACATTTCCCTGTCTAGCATGTTCTGCACGTGCATAAAAACTGTATAAAACGGCTCATCAGACACGTTGATATCACAGCAACAAAAAGAACACAAGATATGCCACTTTTGACAGCCATCGACAGAGAGAGAGCCGTTGGAATGGTCCAACAAGGAGCGACACACGTCGACGTCGCCAGAAGGTTGGGCTGCGCACGCATCACTATCACCAGGTTGATGCAGCGGTTACGTCAGACAGGTCAGACAGGCCCAGGAGTGGAAGACCACGAGTAACCACGCCCCATGAAGATCGGTACATCCGGGTATTACACCTGAGGAACCGCACCGTAACAGCGACGTCCACGGCGGCTACAGCACTGGGACACAGGATCAGTCGACAGACCGTCTACAGGAGACTACGGCAGTATGGTATCCGGCCACGTCATCCCTACCGCGGACCGCTCCTGACGCCTCGACACCGGAACAACAGACTGATCTGGACCAGGCGAGTTCGACGTTGGCAACGGCGGGACTGGGCACGTGTTATGTTCTCTGATGAGAGCAGATTCCTCATCTTCAAAAACGATGGACGGCAGCTTGTATACTGACGATTTGGTGAACGTTTGGCGCCTAACTTTATCCAACAGGTCCGGTCGTTCGTATGTGGTGACGTCAAAACGAGGCTTGTCGTAATTCGTGGAAACCTGAATGCACAGCGTTATATTGATGACATCCTACGGCCTGTTGTGGTGCACTTTATTCAGCAATAGCCTCGTGGACTCCTTTTCCAACATGACAATGCAAGGCCACACACAGCAAGATTGACACAGAACTTCCTTGCCAACGCCAACGTACAGGTTTTGCCATGGCCCGCATGTTCACCGGACATGAATCCCATCGAGCACTTATGGGACCACCTCGATCGGCAAATCCGACGTCGCCGTGTGCCTCCAGTCAACGTCCAGGACTTGGAACGATGTCTCCTCGAGGAATGGCAACGAATCACTCCCAACGTCATCAGACGTTTGACGGCATCAGTCCGTAGGCGTGTTCTGGCATGTATTGATGCTCACGGTCGACATACCCGCTACTGACTTGACTTTGTGACGTGTGGTGTGACATTTCCCGTTGTTTCTGTGATCAGTGCTCTAACGAAATGTTCTTTTTTCGACCCCACCCATCTTTAAAGGCTTGTCATATTGGTTGTACAGATTTTATTGAAATGAAATTTTTGTACAGATGTTGTGAAAGGATTTCTCAAAAGCATAACACCAATCCTAAACTTCTGCATTGTTTAGTTTTTCTTTTATGTCGTTGCAAACAGGTGGTATCGTTTCTTTTGGACACTAGTTTAGTTATTTGGAATTTTAAAGGATCTAGTTATAGCGTCTGATAAAAACGTGATTTCCCATAGGTGGAAAAGTGGCCACAATTCAACAAGGTGCACAGTCCTTTTGCCGATCACATTTTTTTTGCGTAGTTCTGGACATAGTAAGTTAGTCTGTTAACTAGAAATATAAATGTTAACTGAATATATAAATAAATATTATTAAAGTGATGTAAAGAGGTTTTATATTTATGTAACATCAATTTGTACCATTCCAACTTTCAAACAGACCTCTATGATTCTTGCTGTTCCACTTTAACAAATATGCTGCATCACAAGCTCTTCGCGATTAGTGTCGTCATAAAACGCTCAGTTTTAGTGGAATTGCAGGAACCTCAAACGTCTGATTGAAAATTGATACTATCAGTGACCCTGATAAAACCTCTTAACAATGCCTTAAGAGACCGTTTTGGACTATTCCCTGGTCTGGTCTCTAAATCGATAATCATTTATCTATGTCTTATTACAGTGTCCCCAGTCACAGAAAATGAGATGATCGCATTGAAGGAGTAAGTACTGTTTTAAAGTTTACAAATCTTCGTCGCATGTTGCTTTTCCAAGATAAATCTTGATTAGTTCAAAGTTGCAAACTTTGTACTTATACCTTCAATAGTCACTATTCTTGTATCACAGAATGCAGTAATTTGATTGGATTGTAATCCAGCGGATACAATTGTCAGAAGCCAAGAAAGGGTGTGGACATTGTGGCTTTGTGTGCAGGCTGTCTGATTGGTTGTTTTCGGTAGCATACAATCCTATGGCCCCATTTTACAATCCTCCATGATACAAGCGGTGACTATTGAAGTCAAGGTATTAGTACGAAGTTCGTAATAGCTTGACATTGTGAAGATAGATTGTAAGATTCGTTGTAGATGGTCTGGTCTTACTTTACATTTCAGACTTCAAGAGGCCCTGATAAATGATGCTTCCGGTCCAGACATTAAGGAAAGAATTCAGTTCCTTGTCTTTCAAAGGTGTAAAGAACTAAAGAACGTGCACATACACTTGTCAGATGAAGATGTACGGGAATTCTTCGAGAATTGCAACACTTTAAATGCTAGACTATCGGTTGACACAGATGCAAATTTCTCGATCCGTAAATAAAGCTTTTCATCTGGATTTAATTTTAGTTCATAACATCAGCCCGACATTCAGTTGCCGGATTTGTTAAACCCTTTTGTCAATTTCGCCTATTGATGAGAAACATTACTACAAAGCTACTCGTTCAGCAGACAACGAAATTTACAGGTCCAGGTCGACTGGAAATTAGATCATTGGATCATCTTCAATTTATGCCAGAATGTGCAGTACAAACGTGTTTACGTTTTGAATCTAACTCCGATATGCATAAATACTAAATATTTTTCTAATTGAATGCAAGATCTGAATTTATACCCCATTTCCCCACAAACTACAAATCGTCCTACAACATTACTTAAGTTGCCATCAACTGAAGCAATTCTTGAAAAAAAAAGTTTCATATGGTCAAAGGGAGATAGTGACGCTTTACTGTGGTCTGTTAGTCCCGAGAAATAATTCGTTCCCGAGAAATAATTCGTTCTTTATATTTCACATTTCGCACGAAATGAATCTGAGGCAATGAAACGAACAAAATGACCAACTCTCCGACAGATGACTAGACCAGTTACCTATACGCAGAAAATTACACATTGTTTCGTAAGAAAACCAAATTCTACCTGTATAAACGGAGATATTTACTTTGTAGTGCAAAGTAATACAACATCTTAATAAACGATGAAACTAGTAAATTTATGTTGAAAAAGAATTGTAAAGAGATTTCTAATATTTTGTGACACTGTTACTGTTAGCTATTGATGTATCCACATGGCGTTGCGTGTCTTCATTGGCCTTCAATGTGCAGGTAAATTAAATTCCGTGAGCTTAAAAACAAAAGGGGATAATTGACGTTGGAGTGGTCTGTAGTTTTCAGATACTACACTGACTAAACTTGACGTCGTCTGAAATTGAGCCAATTGCAATCTTCATTGAGTGTCCGCCGTATCTACTTCCCTTTGGATACATGAACCTCGTGTCATCTTAGTTTTTTTTATCCCGTTTAATCAAGTAGAGCACATTCATATGTATATTGCACACCTGACACAATATAACCGTTCAATACCTAATATAAATATAACAGTAATTGATAATTAATGATTGCGTGTCGCATTGTACAATCTTTTCAGATCCTCACCAGTACGGATTTACCCCGAATTTAATCAAATTAAAGGCTTGTCCTATACGCAAGGTGGTTCTTGAGTGAAATCAGTGTCACAATACAATATTGAAAGTTATTACATCGTGCCTAGACTAGGGGTACAAATAGGGTGCAGACCGACTAAATGGGGAAGATTCCATACAATCAGAAGGTTCTTTTTTTTAGAAAACATTTGCAAAATGGAATTGAATTGGTCCATTCTTACACATATTTTGGTGTACAAAGATATAAAAATGATATTTTCTAATTTGCTACACATGAAGTGGGGTGCAATATTGGGGGGTAACGCCCCTATGTACCATGGATGGCATAGCCTCTATACAAGGATTCCCCGAGAGAAGATCGAGAGATATCCCACAATATTAAGACGTCGTGGATGGTAATATATATCCGGCCAAATTAACCAAACAATACTATCGCCTGGAATATATTCTGAGCATCGATTGATAACATTGATATGGTGCCAGTCATTCCCATGTCACAGATATCTAGGCATGATATTATGGCAATGTCTCAAAAAAGCTAATTCGGAAGAAAAATGTGTAATTCCTCCGTTTTCAATAATTAAAATTCGTTGTAAGGACATAATATATACATTTTGTGGTTGATTGATAATTATCTTACAAAGATCTTTGGCGTTGGAGGATAATAAAAAATGAAAGATGCATAATTACGAAATTACGTTACATCGATGGATAATTTCTGTTGTATATTAGAATCTTATTTATTTTTAAAAATTGGACGTAAGCAAACTTTGACCAGTTCCTATATTCCATGCAAACAAATCATACGAGCATACAGATCTGGAGTCTTTCTTGGAATGTTGGTGTATTGAGACGAGTTTCAATGAAAGCACTGGTCTTGGTCACAGAGCAATAGATAAGCTTATTAATTATGTGAAAATTAGTTAGTCATTAATATGACTTGAGTTGAAAAGAGACACACACAAACATACATACACGTACTCTGACATATAATATACTAGCCATGTCATCAGTCCTGAATAAGTATTCCCTGAAATCTTCCTTAGAAATCGATTATATAACATGATACAGATAAGAAGAAATATCTACTTTTAGGATAAATGGGCAATGTTCAATGGTTCAAGTCTACTGTGGAACAGAAAATTGCTCAGATTTTGATTTATTTTGTATGCTACAACCAAATGTTTTGTATATACATGGGGAAATTTGTTTTGAAGTCTTGAGTAATGGCGTTTGACTATTATGGAGGTTTATCAATATAGAGATTCGATTCCATCCATATGCTGTATCGCATATCACTTAAACTATTTTATTGAAATTATAATTATCCTAGTTTGAATCGATCCGCTTTTTCTTGAAAAAATCCGTGCCATCAGGAAAATTCTTTACAAGTTGCGAATAAAGTTCAACTGAACCAATATCATTGCTTTTCTACAAATCTTAATGAAGATTAATAGGCATTCTGTTTGATGTCTTAAAAGCTTTGTTTTTGCTTTTAACTTCCACATAGATTTTTTGTAGAGTAATCTCCGTGCATCAATGTCGGCTACGTGAACTCATTATACAATTTGTACTTACAATGTAGTTTAAGTCCGCACTGTCTGCAATCATATGACCAATTCTTTTTTAGTCACGTTGCACGCGCCGCTTTGTTATCATCGTTATCAACAAATCTTATCCTTTCGTCCGAAATTGCTCTTAAAGTCATTATTAAGAGGTTTTCTAAAATAATTATGTTTATCGGGGATAGCATCAATTTACACCATTCCAATTTTCAATCAAACATCTTTGGTTCCTACAATTCTACTAAAAGTAAGCATTTGATGACAAATTGATACTATCAGGGTCCCTGATACACAATATTTTTTTTGAAAAACTCTTTACAATCCCTTTAATTTAATTATTGTTTTTTCGCCAAATGAACATGTTTTTTTTGGAAAAATTGACTTATGCAGAAACCAAATGAAAACGATATTCTGCAACGTCATTCGCCAGTCATAATATTAATGTGACATTTTTTAATCATACATTTCACAGTTTGTCGTCGAATATTTTCCAAACAATCGTGTATTTATATTATGTTTTAAATGAAATACAATTCATGTTAGTTTTTTTTATTATTTTAAATTTTCTGGACAATCGTAGATATAACTTAAACAATACTACAGGAAAAAACACATAATGTGATGCTGAAGGATATATCAATTTGAAATGGACTGGGACACACGTTAAGATAAGTCTTGTATATGTTTTCCTTTCCATTTTAAGGCTCCATTTCAGTTTCGTCACTAAACGTTATAAAAAATGCATATTGACCATTATGTACGCATTTATACATTTGAAGCCAATCTTCATTCATGCTTGTCACTTTTTTCGGGGCCTTCTACCATCGACGAGGTATATCATTTATTCGTCCAAAACACTTTATGGAGATCAACAATCGCATTCAGCTTCCATAATGAGTAGACTGTCACTATAAGTTCAAAAAAAGCGAAGCCACATAAAATGTTGATGTTGGTAAAAATACCTACTGATAGTTATAAGGCAAATGCAAAATGTTGGATACGTCATGTACCCTAATGATAATGTAGTTGTACCGCTTTTGAATAATTGACTTGATACCACCAAATGTTGTCTACATGTACCGCTCTGTGAAAAACTGCATGTATCGCTTTTGGACCACTTGACGCTACTAGGTTGCGTGGCGATAATGTTATGATTCTGCATTTGGATAATTGACGCTTCTAGGTAGTATCAGTGTGTATGCACCGCTTTTGGACTAATGTAGTAATACCGCTTTTGGATAGTTGACTTGATACTACGAGATGTTGTCTACATGTACATGTACTGCGTTTGGATAGTTGACGCTACTATGTCTCTTAGTACATGTACTGCTTTTGGATAGTTGACGCTACTAGGTCTCTGTGTACATGTACAACATTTGGATAGTTGACGCTACAAGTACAAGGTATTGTCTCGGTGTTCACCGATTGATAATGTAATGATACCAGTTTTGAAAACTTGACGCTAAAATGTTACACCTCATCACAAGTTCCATAATCAGTATGGTCACAGCAAGTTCTGGACATTTCAAAGTCGTCATTAGTTTTACTATAGATATAATGCGATGTACGAGTTTGAACCGAATTTCTCAGAAAATACTTCCGTCTCATGTACTCTTTGCCTCTTAGACATGTACAGATGGCATGGACAAAAGTTTTACGAAATGTCTTGGACATGAATCCATATATGATTGGGTTCACACAACTGTTCAAGTATGATAAAAGATAGAAAGCAAGTCTCATTGGTTTTAAATAACCATAATGTAAATGGTGCAGCACGTTAAACGCTGTCAGTAAGTTGTTGATTAATATTGGTGCCCAGCAAATAATAAATATAACTATAACAGCTACCAACATCTTTATTACCTGAAATAAGAATGAAGTTTTACGAACTCTGTGAAAGAAAGTTATATGATGATAACCTAAAGAATCTATGACATATCGAAGAAAGATGGTGGAAACGATCTCTATAGTTATAAATCTGATTGTGCAGACATTAAAGCTTTCGTTCGTAATAAGTTACGTATACTTGCAAACCATGATCTGAAATTTGTTTATTTTTGAATTGTGTTCAATAATATTTCAAGCTAATCAATCATAAACATAATGAGTCTACATTACAGGTCCAAGTTAAACGATGAATATCTCGGGATTCCGCGCATGCAGCAGACAAAATCAACACTAGCTAAAAACACGAAACGCAACACTTAGCAATTAGGATTTAACAAGTCTTATAATGATGTCGAAAAATGTAATTAGGAGTAGATCAGGAAATATCTTATAGATAACCTTCGTGTTGTAACGCAAACGTGGTCACATGGGAAAGCCAGAATGTCCCAATGAACCAATTCCAAGTACTTAAGATTCTAATCTTTCTATAAGTATTATATTTACACAGTAACACTTTAACCAATTAAAGGAATTACTGATGCTCTCCATTGACATTGAATAATGTAACAAGAGATCAGATCCTTCAGAAACATTTTATTTTCATAATGCACAATAAAGGTGACATTAAGCAAAATTTTGTCAATGTCAATGTACCATATAACGATTTTCATTGCATTTCCAACAGATAAGTTTCAGATACGGGGAATTTGGAATGAAAATTATTCGGTCAGACATGACATTTTGTACCATTTTGTCCTAAAACACATGGAAAACCAAGAACTATTTGCAGGTGCGCCGAAGCCAACTAGTTATTCAAACCGGTTGGTCAGATTCGTCGCAATCAAGTTGCACGAAACGTTTATGTCAAGAATGTAGCAGAAAATTTGCGTCTAACTTAATGGTGCCTCGCTTGAAATCATTTGCATAACAGTCTGTATAATAGGCTACATACTTGTTTTCTCGTATTTTCATCTTCTGTAGAAACTTTGAGTTTTGTTTGTTTCCGTATTACTGGACTTTTATCAGAAGCTACACGAAATGGACTGGAATTTTGGCCGGTCTGTTGATCGTTTCTATAAAAAATATAGCTTGTTTAAATTAGAACATTTGGCAGAACGGCAACCATCGCCAATATGAAACAGTCAAAAGTGTTTACAACAATCAGAATCCGAAAAACAATGAGCAGATCTTAATTATATGTTATATTAACAAGTTTCATTTAAATCCTTTAATAATTGCGCTCTCTGGAGTTTTAACCAGTTTGGAAGAACAATGGCAATAACTCATATCAAATATTTCCGAATTCTTCTTCATATTTGATAGAGTTCATCCTTTGGCGATAATACACAAATTCACAAGTATTTTTTATCAAAATCGGTCAAGAAATTTGCCTTCTGGAGTGTTTACAAGTAATTGTTGACGACGGACTGACCATATTATGGGAATAATGACACCACTCATCAACACTTAGCATATTAAATCTAAGCTTCTTTCATGATTTCTATTCTTTCTATTCACTGGGCTTTCTAGATATCTTTTAAAAACGATGGTTGGAATGTCAACTAAGGTCTGAATATTTAGTTAAGACTGTTGTCACTTCCATCTTAAATGTTAAATGCTGTTGAACCAGGCGTCAGATTTTTAATATACCAACAACCGACATTCTGCGATTGCTTCTGCCAAATAACATTATATCAAAATATTAATTTAAAAACAAGACAAAGCAGCAAATTTCCTTGTCAAACCAAGATATCTTCGTTGTTGACAGTAAAATAAAGATTATGACATTGACTGACATCGAGCATTTTTTAAGAACAAAAGTGTAGTTACGCGCTAATCATTTTAACGACAGCGTAACAGAAAATGACAAAAAGAAGTCATTTACTGCTAATAGGCAACGTTTCGACTGAATAATCTGCATGCCCTGGTAGACAAGTCGCTTACAATGTGAGTTAAGTTAAAAGAGATCACGTATCAACGCTACCCAGAATGTTTACTTCCTACATATAATATATTCCATTCCACGTACCAACTCACTCAATTGAAAATAGATCACTCACGAATTTCAAATGAAAAAATAAGCTTCATCAGTGTCATCAACACCAGTGTAGGTGGTAAAAGATTTGTTAGTTAAGGTGTAAGCCTGACAGCCGTTCTTTGTGATCAGTTAATTTATCGTAATTTAACAAATTTCTTACAGTTCTAAACAAGTGTACAATTGTCACTAAAGAAATGTTTTTTTGTGTTCATAAGCTATAGTGATCATTACTATCAAGAAACTTTCTCTGATCTGATTTTCAACCAAACATAACCATGAATAAACCAATCTGCACATGTTTCTGCAACTGAAAATGGCCCACGCAGCATGAGATTATGAAATATGCAGTGGTATTTAACTGACTCGCTTCTAATTGTGGGTGGATCTTTGACGTGAAAGTCTGTGGTGAGCGGAACATAATGAATGTTTCCCCCTACGACTTCCGACTTTTTCCCGACTATCGGGATCGATCGAATACTGGGACAGTATGGCTGTCCATATGTTTATCCATATAAAAAACAATTTAAATCGGATTAAATTTGCAATTTAAGTCCTTTTTCGACATTTTGTCGGTGTATAAAATCGTATTGAGAGCTATCATAACCTAGAGACTTTTATCAGGTCCAATATCCAGTATTTGTATGTTATTTGTTTGTTCCTACTAAGTCATAAAAACTATCGTGGTGGGCGATAGATAGATTAAAGCGACAATCACTATGGATTTAGCTGTATAGGGGAAATCAAAGCCATGGACCACTGTTAAGTCTTTAACCTTGCGTGGACTTGTTAATTGCAGCAATAAAAATCCGAGACAGAGGCTTACATTCATATATCAGCAAGTTATACGGATAAACTTTCTAGTCCATCTGCTTAATTGCAGACATTTCGCTGAAACGAGTGATTTAAGAATTACCATTTGGCTTAAAGTAACCGGTCAAGATTGATATCTGTCCATTCAAAGAACGTGCTTAAAATTTGTAATTAATGTACTTTATAAAGATACTTCCTATTTGATACGTTATTTGTGTCTTCTAAAGTCAATACTATGCAATAATTTCTGTTTTCGGGGATTATCGGACCGGGTATTGATATCTATAACATGATATATATGTATAAATAAATATCAGCGAATAAATACTTGTTTAACCAACATTGCAAGTGGCATCGTCTATAAAAACACCATCCCCACAATATCAATCTATTTCGAATTTTGAAATCTTGAAATCTTAAAATCTGGATTGCAATAGCAACCTTTCTTGTATCACAGAAGATTTGTAAATGCAGTGATTTGATTGGATTATATGCTAGCAAATACAGCCAACCATAACCCGCGACAGATAAACTTTAATGATTATTGCTTATTGATTACAGATTTTCTGTCGAGTACTCTGATTATTTGTATTCTCTAACGTTCAATCCAACCAAATCGTCGCATTTACAAACTTCCGTGATACAAGAAAATTGGCTATTGCAGTCAGGGTATATTATGCTTTCATTAAGACACACCTACCTGCCATTTTTCATGACGATCCTTTGATGAGTGACCATCCATAATTCTATGCAGATACTAGAGTAGGCGAATGTCATGATGAAAACTGGAAGCACCAGCATGATACAAAACATGTAGCTTTCATAAACTTTGCTAAATAAACTTTGTTCCCAATCTTTAATACACCAATATCCAGTTCGTATAACACCAACTAATTTATGTACCTGAAAATAAAAATGAAGTTTTACCTGAGATGAATTTTGAATTTAAATTTGAAATAAAATCTTTCACCAGATTAAATAAAATCAAAAACTTTCGTCCCGTTTTTTATAAGCTTATATCTTTAATATAGCCACGTCACATAGGGTCGAAAGGCGGTCTTCTTGACACCGCAAGCCAATCAAATTACTGCCCTCTACTGCGCTCGGATTTTGTCACTAGACCTCCTAAAAACGCCACTGGGACTATGCTACTTTGACCCATGTAATAAAGTGCGTATTTTTATATAATTTTCAGAATGACCGTCTTTTATTGATGCGAGTTGCTTCATACGATAAGAGTTGAAAATAATTACGGCAAACAAAGTCATTTACGAAGTTCAGTGATATTAAGTGATTTCACGTATTCCCTTGTACCGGAAATATATTACTTGACAATCTTCAACAAACGCTTCAAGACATTTCAAACAAATAGCCATGGATTAATTGTGGGGGACAAATTGTCAAGGAGATTTTGTTTTGTTTTGTTTTAGTCCCTTCAAAGTTACACCATTAGGCGCATTAATGACTTGACTAGACAACCATATCAATTGAAAGGTTGAGATAATTAAAACTAAGAGAGCGTTAAGTTGTTCTGTGATTTCGTTTACTTTGACTTAATATAGTAAGTGCCTAAAGTTCAACAACAAGAACAAGTCATTATCATATTTGACTCATAATTACACTGTCTCTGTCTATAAAAATATGGAATCTGGAGCTTAACAACTCAATAACATTCTAAACTAAGAGAGTAAGAAAATTCGTGTGTAACATATCCGAAATATCGAGAAGAACCTTGCCATGGTGCCCAATAGTCATATACTTACTTGTAAAAATGGAATTGGTAAAGCTAATATAAAAGATAATATCCATAATAAAACGATAGCTTTTCTAGCCCTCCCAACTGTACAAACATATTTAGCTTTCAATGGATGCAATATGGCATAATATCTGCAAAATATAAAAATCATTTTTTGGTTAAAACACAATAAGATTAGTTTCCCAACCTTTTAGACTACTCGTTCCCTTAACTTAATTATCATTTTTAATACCCTTGCAGTAGCAGTTCGCCTACCATCAACATTTCCCAGCATTGCTATACTTTTCAAATACAAAAGGACCACTGTGACTACTATCAATTCAAATTACCGGAAATGAAATGGGTAATAGGCCCGTGGCAGCAGGATAGGAGTGGGGGAGGGGCGGGCAAGGCGTTAAAGCATCACTCAACAACTATACACCACACGTCATTGCTCCTCCGGATATATAACTTGCCCTTCGGAACAATCAAGTCTGATTACGGGTTTGATGGGTAAGAGAAATCGATGGTTTTTAAATAATTACACGCGAGCTTGGCGTCAGACGTCGACATGATGAGTGACGTTGTAGCTAAGTGTGTGGCCTAGTAAATTGAAACCTCAGACGGTTGCATCCTGGTTGTCTTAAAGAGTTGATGAATTTAAATGGTATATACTTAAACTGGTGCAAAGGTAATGTAAGACAGTTTAGATTTGACTTTCACAATATAACACTGTTTGTCACACCAGGGCTCCTCTAATCAAAACGTCTCGAGGTAATTTACTGCGATTACGTGACATAATTCTACTGACTGTACTCTTTAAGTCACCATCTTCATTCAGGTCACAATTCCATCACCATCTATTTCCTTTTTATGGGAAGGTCAATGTATTTCTCTGATTACTACTAATCCAATAGATTTCAAAGGTGAAGCCAAGAATAGTCCTCACGCTATGGTTGTTGGACGAATATCATTAAACTTCCGATTGGATTTTCCCGTCCCACGTTTTAAGGCAGTGGTGGTCTCGCCATGAATCGGGACTCAATTTATTATTTTTTCTTCAGAAAATGAAGCTTCTGTGAATCAGAATGTAATACCACTGTATTTCCATACGTAGCTTATATATATTCTAGTCTTACATAGATATGGATACTGGTAACTGACAAGTCAGAGCTCAAAGAATGGCACGTCTTTCAAATATAAAACCTCATGGAGACAACAGTTTGGGGAGGTGTTTTTTTTTTAATTTTCCTTATCAGGATTTGAGATGAATTTTCAGACTTTTAGATGTAATGCACAACAAAACAAGGTTTTGTATAAAGGTTCATTATGGCACAAGACGTCAATTTGATCTAAAAAATGGTCCGATCTGTAACAAAATAACACAATTGCAATCGATCAAGGTTTCGACCGGGGTTGAAAAAGGTTTAACACCCCGAAGTGTGTTGGACGAGACTCGTTTGTTCACAAATATAACAAAAAAGAACAACCAAACAAAAATACAAGAGAATTCCTCTTTGATAAACTTGATTTATCACCTCATTACTCCCAAGTTTTCTTCAAACAAGCACATCAGCAATTTGTGTCTGCTGGTGGAATTAAGCTACAACTGTTTTCAACATTCAAACAATCAAAAAACGCTACTTAAGGTGATTCTGTGATTTTGTAAAATATACCATAGAGAATTGTGCAAATTGAATTCAGAGACAATCTGTTAAAGATGAAAGTGATTTATCATGTAAGCTAAATGTTTAAAGTGATTACTTTCCGTTGAGGATACATTTTTAGAGATCGTAATTGAACATAAAAGATTAGACATTGGAAGAATCAAATGCTTTTGATATTTGTGTTAGTAGTGACAGTCTTATGTAAGATTGATCAAATAAGACACAATAATCCATTTATCTAAGATCTAATTGAAGGCCCGAGCAACACTAAAATTTCTAAATAAGATTACATTTATGGTTTCAAGTGGCTCTGCGGACCGATTTATAGGATATATTCTGAAATATTACAGTCTGAAAGAATAAAAGAATGCAGTAGATTAAAAAATAGTTAAAAATATTCATCAGACATGGATGATAAAAAAACATATGTGGTCAATGGTTATTTCTTGATATTCATTGTTGTTCCAAACGTTCAAGGCCTTTTCCTACTTACGCCGAAACAAAAACGTAACAGAAACGAAAACGAATATTTTCGTTTTCGGTAGACCTTACACACTTGTACCGAATTTGTGCCGGTTTTCCAGGGAGATGGATCTAAAATACCATGGAAACGATGAATGCACACTGTGAAATTTATACCTCTTCTCAATACATATTTCCAAAGTATTTTAGTGTACATTACACCTCCTCTCCAATTATATTATACATCACTTCATTTGTGTCATGGTTCTGTCGGCTTTGTCCCAAAGATTTGATTTTATCACTTGACCTTAGATTGCATCCATTTTTTTTGCTGCAGCACAACAAATCGTGTAACAGTAATGGCGCTACTATCAGCTAAAAATAGCTGCCAAGAAAGGAAAAATTATAAATTGTATTCGTGAACGTTTTCGATTTCGTCTAAGGTTACGGTTTCGTTGTATGTAGGAAAAATTGTGAACATTATAAGCAATCTATTTTTTCGGTGCGGATTTGTTTTCGTTTCGGCGTAAGTGGGAATAGGCCTTTTAAGAGACATGTGCGCCATTTTATTTGACCAATCATACTTTAGTCTCAGAAACGTTTTTTTGAAAGAATGATGCGTTGTTCGTACATTTCTAGTACTTCTGAAGACTATTTACACATATAAGTCTAAAATGAACCCCCAAAAATGACGCATCTGTCCCTTTAACTATATATGGTGAATCTTATAAAAGACAGCTTGGAATATTTTGACCCTTCTATTTCGGTTACTTCACCGCTTCCTAATATGAAAACACCCTTCTTTAACTGAATACTTGTATAAAATCCATATCATCTTAATATCGTGTGTGATAGAAATATCCTTTAACAGCGCCACGTTTCTTTTATGGTTCAGTATGTAAACATACATAGCGTGAGACTTTAATGGTCGTAATATCCATGTTTGTTATTGGCCAGAAATTTAATCAAAAAATTAATCAAGTTTTCTTTGTAAATAAACTCGTTAATTTTATAGATTATTTTTCAAGTAATTTTCAAAATCTTTTGTGTTTATTTAGCGCTCTGATATAAAGAAAGTTTTGTATAGAAAGTTTGAAACCCAAAGAGTGAGTTGTTCAAAACTTGCTGATCTATGATAATTTTGAAGCCTATCGGAGCAGGGTGATTTTGACTAATTCTTTGATCATACAGTCATAGTGATTCAAACAGAATTCACCAAGGAACGTAATTAATAGCTTCCAAAAGCATAACAAACTTACATAATGTTTTTAAATATTTTACAGGTTTAAAAAATAACGGCTCGATTCTTTTAGTTAAAAACTTTTCAGATACGTTTAAGGGTATATTTCTGAAGATTTTGGTTTATAGTTTTCACGAATTTGAGCAAATAATATTTTCCACCTTCAAAAAAGTGTAAAAAATGGAAAAGAAAAAAACTAATATATTAAAAAAAACTCTCAAAAAACCATCATAATACATTAGTCATTAGTCATGAAAATATCAATGAAGACAAAGGTCGACAAATTAAGAAATTTGATTTTTTCACCAATTTTTTTCCACAGTGAATTCTTTCTTTGTCAAAGTTCCCAAGATTTGCATACAGACAGTACTAATTCTGATGAGCGAGTAAAGCCAGACGTAGACCTCAATAAAAGTAGAGGTGTGTAGGATTTCAGTATAATTTTATTATGTCTGGTATTTAATTACACTTAACAAAAGTTCCTGCAATTATTGGAATATTGTTGGGTCATACCAGATTAAATGGTATACAGATAACAACGATTTTACTTTTGTCCAGAGATTTCATCAAAGACGAACAGGTACCAAATAAGGACGCGACGCGACGCGACATAACAGGTGCGCCATTTGAGGGGTTGATTTGAGTCTTGATAATATGTAAATAGTCTTCAGAAATACTTTAAATGTATTGAAAATCGCCTAATTCCGTCTCTGAGACTAAAGTATGATTGGTCAAAAAGAATGCAGCAGCGTCCCTTTAATCAAAAAGAAATGAAGGTGTTGCAAATTGTGTATTTTCAAATTAAATTGCGTAAAATTATTATGTAATCGGTGGTTATTTGTGAATCCGGTTGTGCTATCAATGGCTATGAGTGAATTCGGTTGTGTTATCAATGTTTATTGGTGAATTCGGTTGTGCTATCAATGGTTATGATTGAATTAGGTTGTGCTTTCAATGGTTATGAGTGAATTCGGTTGTGTTATCATGGAGATATGATTATGGTATTCATGATAGACGTCAGTTATATATCAGATTATTTTGGTGTCATACGTCTTATTGATCCAGATCCAACTACCAACTAACGCTATTGCAAACAATTACCTAGTCTGCGATATCAGATTCTTCTGGTGGTGAACATTAATTTGTCATCTTCCAACCAACCACGCAATACGCCCAAAGGTACATATATATGGCAACCGTAGCAATGGAAAGAAAAAAAACAGACACAAAAAAATCAAGCAAGAAAAAAACTTTGTCACAGTGAAACACGGACATGTAAGAGATGAAATGCTTACTATCAGCTGGAAGAACAATATATAATCAGGCGATCATATCCTTTCAAGCGGAATGCAGACATGAAACGTTATCATTATCAATACCAAAGAGTCGCTGCATGTAAAGTTCAATATGGATGAAGTCAATCAAGCTAGTAATTTTATTAATTTAGAACAATGAATTTTGTCTAGACTGTCCTTTTATATGATCTAATGATCAAATACTCTATTATACCCATCAATTGTAACTAGAGGTGGTGAATACCAGATTGTTTTGTTGAGGACATCAGATTATTCGCTTAGTGAGGACATTATATCGGTCGATTGAAGAGGACATTTGGCCAGTCGGGTTGCTGCTTTAAATTGACAATATAAATCCATACAAGCAAAACAAATATGGATATGTGCTGTGATAAACTCATCTTCACAATGTCAAGCTATTACTAACTACGTCTTATACCCTTCCACGTATCACGCAATGCAGCGATTTGATTAAATTGCACGCTAACGAATACGTCTAATCGAAGCCTTTAAAGACCGTAAATATTGTGGCTTATGGTTTACAGACTTTCTGTCGAGGGCTCTGATTGGCTGACAATCCAAATTGCTGTATTCACAAACTTTCGTGAAACAAACAAGAGCCTAACGAAGTCAAGGTATTAGACACAGTTTGTAGTAGCGTTGTAGTTTACTTTGTTCAGATATGATCAGCTGAGAGAATTCTTATTGCTCTTACCCGACATATACTACAAATGGACAGAAAAAGTAACCTTGATGTGCAACTGACGTCACTTCCGTTGTTATTGAACTAATGTTCAATCAGGGTGGTTCATTATGTGGCTTAATTGTAGAATGCATGGCGTTTGCAGTAGATTTAGATAATACTTATTAATTCAGTAACACCGTGACCAAGATGCTTTCATACGGCCCTCTGAAACAATCGATGTTACTTCTCTTTGTGTCCGACCATTGTATTATGTTTCAATTTTACAATTTCAAATATTTCTAAACTGAAGATAGAAATAGCCATGCAAATAAATCTATTTTTCTCTTTCTATGTACCAGTCTCTAGTTTTTAATTTAAACATGTTCCCATTTTCTTATTAAATGTATTGAAACTTGAGATAGATGTCCGTAAGACGGCAATTCACAACGTGAATATATTTGAAATTCTATATCAAGACGACTTACAATAACGGCACTTGTCCTAGATATGTATCGATGAGAAAGTCAATTATGTCACATCAAAATAATATCTGATCATGAGGATTATCATGTCCATTTAAAGAATACTATACCTCTTACAATGAACTTAACAATTTAAAAGTCTCGAACTTGGAAAACAAGTGTATATATTCATCAGTTGGACTTACGATGTACCATGACTAAAGAAGAGAATCTCATTATAAGATGGTATATCCATTCTAAGCATGTTACAAAATTACTTTATTTAATGAATTATTACTTAGTTTAATGGATTTATTAGATTGTAAAGGGATGCTTTTGTATAGTTACATCATCAGATAAGTCCACTGATCAACAGTCAATTTAAATTATGTGGTCATCCTAAGAGGTAATATACCTTTAAGCAACAGTGCACGACTTCTATCTAGTATAACGATAGATGTGATAAAAGTCACACACCGCTACTGAAGGTACATTGAAGATCATGTTTTCTCAATCTGATATTTAAAACGTTATTCAGTGAATACAGCCAATCAGAGATCTCGATTCCATGCGTAGTTATTTTTTACGACCGAGGGCTCAGATTGGCAGTTTTAGCGTACAATCCAATCAAATTGCTGCATTCACAATTTTTCGTAAAACAAAATCGCGTGCCATTGAAGTCATGGTGTAAGATGAAGACGCAATACTTAGACCATTGTGAAGATGCCATCCCGCCAGCTGATGCGTTTCTGAAAATAAACATTTTGGATTACTAATAATTTTTGTCTACCTTCAAACACATGTATACTTTTTCCAAATTGACTTAAAAGAGCTTGGCATTGTTTTGCCCACCGTCTCCCAAATAATAACGGTCTAGAAGCTTAAAACACTGTCACTTTGTTTTGAATTGAAGACCAAAGATTAACTTTCTTTGGCACAATTTTCCTCACAGTTGATATTGACCTTCTATACGAGTCCCTCCCCCAAGAGAAAAAGAGAACGTAAAATTCCGTGCTCGTTCAACTATCAGGTTATTCTACTTTAGGAATTAGATAATACGACCTAAATCAGCAACCGTAGTGAATTTATCGCCTGATTGATATCTTAATGTAGTGTCCAAAGAGATCGTAAATTATATTCTTACCATGTCAAGGTTATGGTGGAAATATGATAACAAAAGAAACGTAAGCGCCGACGCTTTCAAATTCATTCGAATTCAAATTACTTTTTTGAGACAATTAGAAATATCAAAATGCTCTACAGGAAATGGGAACGAAGTTATTAGAAGCTATAAGTATACTCCAAAATCCTCTTTACAATCCATTTAACAGCTGCATCCCATAAAAAGCACTCAAAAGACTCAAAAACTGATTGAACAGAATTACATAATAAAATACAGATCTAGATGTGATGTTAGGGCGAACGGACGACACAACTTGTTTTCAAAATTCATGGTCCCGTCACACCGTAAAGACAATGTTACTGCGTGTTACTGCGACGGAAATTTGGCTCAGAGCGTGTTAAGGTTGCCATTAGCGTGATATAAGCGTGTAGGAAACACCAGACATCGTGCAATTGTCACCATTGTCGCTACTACTTGCCGAGTCACGGCGTTTATTTTGGACATGCTCAAAACAAACTCCAAGATTAAGAACACCATGGGACCGAGAAGGTCGACAGACAAGCGTTGTAACATCTCCTTGACGGGGTTATTACAGAGATTATTTTGAACCGCAATCCAATGTTTTGTTTTAATAAAAGTTATGTTTATGATATAAGTATAATTGTGGCTTAGCGTTGACTTATATTGTACAGCTTGCAATTTAATATATTTCAGGGTGGCGTTGGAAATATAGGCCGATTACAGTTTTTGGCTCATGAAAGAAAAATTTCTCTCGAGTAGTCCAAAGTACTTCTCCAAGGTACTATACACCAGTAATCACTCGCCGTTCGTTCAAAACAATTCAAAGTCCACCGTCCTTTTTTCTAGCTATGAATTACACAGATGAGCATGTAACCATAGACCTATGACAAGTAAGGAAACAGGTGTTAGAAATCTATGTTAGATCTATAATTATATAGACTAATTAGCCGACCAGTCAGCTATTATTCCTGATCAAAGAACTAACAACAACGACACCATAAATTATTGACAATTATTTATACGACTACGTAAAAGATCAAACACCGTATATCAGCGTAAAGCGTTTATCTGAATTCAAAACACGGGTTCAACGGCACATGTAAATCGGTAGCAACAACAATATCGAGCCATGTGCTATACCTCAGTCGCCTCCTGACGAAATATCTTAAAAAGCGAACTCGTTGATACATCTAAACGAAAAATCAAAATCTACATAAAGCAATTGTTTTTTTTTCACATTCTTAAATATTTTTTTTTGTCACTGTCAAGGCCAATAACTCGACGAAAAGAAGGGACTTCAAAAGAAATTCTCATCATGTCAATCAAAAATGTTGTCAAATTTGTGTTCACGAACTTTGGAAACTGGTGGACCAGTTGAAGGTGGCACGAACGTAAAATGGCGATAGCAATATTCTTCCACACAACATTACAAAAGAAAATTGGATAAAGTCCCTCTTCTAAATTTGTTTCTAACTTTCAAAATATATACAAATAATCTTATACGCTTACCTTTCAAGGCTCATTACTGTAAGGGTTAGAACAGAGCAGATAGCTGAAACGTTCTGTAGATATACCACGGCTTTACATAAAAATTCACCAAACATCCAAGTAAAACTAAAGAAGGCGGCAAACTGAAAAACAGAAAGGAATCATTATTGAAATTTTTGTCCAAATAATCGCGTAAATGTTAGCTTTTCTCTAAATATTCTTGACGAGATATTATGGCCTAAATCCACTGTAAACAGTCTACAGGAAGTCAATAAGAAGTGTATTCAAAAATGCATTAGAGTGTATTCATGACCAGTTAGCGCAATATTAAGAACTTATTATAATTACGTATTTTCAGTAAGACTTTAGTCTAATTTGACTGAAGAGTCGAATAATTCAAACGTATCTGTCATTAACTTTTTCATACAAGTAAGAATTATTGACTCACTATAGTACTTGAAAGTTTGTCTTAAAGTTTTTTTTGTCACATGAAGTAATTCGTACTTATCCCTTCCAGTCTATGTCGATGATGAGAAACAAGCATTTAATCATACCAAAGGATCTACGAGGGTTGGCTAAAAAGGTCTAAGGTAAGATATCTCAATCGGATTGAACAAACTTATAACATTCATTTATTTAATGAATTATAGACATTATTATCTTTGTAATTTTGTGAACCTACCAATATGAAAGATGGTTACCAAAGCTTATTGACAATGGATCAAAAAGTGTCAGTTTCCTCGCGTCATGTGACAATACAATCTAGACTATCAGACTACCATCTGTTTCCCAAAATTAAAAGGAATTAGCATGTCGCTATGATGAAGTCATATCCTGTGAATGATTTTTAAGGGTGGCTTGATCTGCATGATTCAGACCCCACAGCACCGCTGGAATAAGTGCGTACACACGGAAGGGACTATGTTTTAGAATAATTAATGAAAATCATCATCCTGGATTACTTAGATTAAAATAAGACTTAGAACTTTTCAGCCAACCTTAGTATCTTGAATCGTGATTGAATTCCAGAGCTTCAGGTTAGCAGTAAGAGATAAAGAAGATTGGTTTACGTTAAATGGACATATGTGCTATAAAATTCCAGTATAATGTTATTTGAATAACATTGCATGTCTATATCAATTATTGTATCACTTTAACCATACAGCTTTGTTTCAAATGTTATGTCTTTTTTAATTCCCCATTTTTAGCATGTCATTGCTAATAGCCCCATTTAGACAAAAAACAACGTCATGCCTCATTGGCCTTATCAATTCGTCTAGCGGATTTCTTCCATTTTATATCTGAACAATTGTATATTCTTTTGGAAATTATACAATATAAAATGGTGGTAAATTGTATATTTTCTTGTAAATAATATAAACATGGTGGTAGATTGTATATTCTTTTGGAAATTATACATATGAAAATGTTGGAAAATTGTATATTCCTTGTAAATAACATAAACATGGTGGTAGATTGTATATTCTTTTGGAAATTATACATATGAAAATGTTGGAAAATTGTATACTCTCTTGTAAATAATATAAACATGGTGGTAGATTGTATATTCCTTTGGAAATTATACAATATAAAAATGTTGGAAAATTATAAATTCTCTTGAAAATGATATATAAAATGGTGGTAGATTGTATATTCTTTTGGAAATTATACAATATAAAATGGTGGTAAATTGTATATTTTCTTGTAAATAATATAAACATGGTGGTAGATTGTATATTCTTTTGGAAATTATACATATGAAAATGTTGGAAAAGTGTATATTTCTTGTAAATAACATAAACATAGTGGTAGCTTGTATATTATTTTGGAAATTATACATATGAAAATGTTGGAAAATTGTATACTCTCTTGTAAATAATATAAACATGGTGGTAGATTGTATATTCCTTTGGAAATTATACAATATAAAAATGTTGGAAAATTGTAAATTCTCTTGTAAATAATATAAAAATGGTGGTAGATTGTTTATTGTATTTTTTCTTGTAAAGAATCAAAATGTTAGAAAATTGTTTATAGTTTTGTAAATAATTTTTTGTTAGTGGCAAATGGTATAGTTCATGGTAAAGAATACGATATGAGAATGCTGAAAATCGAATATTCTATTGTAAAAATACAAAATGGTAGAAAAATTGTATGTTCCAATGGAAATATTCGGTACTGATCGTAAATTGTTTATTATCTTGTAAATAATTATAAATTGGTGGAAAGTGGTATTTTTTTATGGTAAAATAAACGATATCAAAATTCACGAAGTGGGAATTTCATATTTTCGTGCCGGAATATGAGCCTCATGTAATAAACTGGTTACTTTCGTAATGATAATAACCATTCTGCCTTCTAATCAGATTGATATGGGTTCTTCAATAGACATAGACGATAATTAATAAGAATGCTTGTCATTTTCACTCGATCAAGTAACAAGTCTTTCATTAGATAATTACTTGAAATGACCTAAGTTGGGATGGATTAAAGGGACTGATGCGTCAATTTGAGGGATTGATTTAAGTCTTGAATATATGTAAATAGTCTTCAGAAGAACTAGAAATGTACAAAAAAGCGCATAATTCCTATAAAAATATCTCAAACTAGGAATAATACTTACTTTTTCTTTTCTATATATATATATTTCTAGTTCTATAGAAATATATCACAGAGTATCACAGAGTATCTTAAAATGACCAGTAGTCATTTTAACATTCAAACGCGGATTATTCAGGATACACATGGATTTGAAGGCTCGGCATAAAGATGCTCATTAGAAGTTTCCCAATGAAAACTATTCTGAAGGAAATCTATCTTTAGGTATGCACAGCAAAGATTTCCATTCGCAGCGAGAATCAGATTTGAAATCTCGAAAAAACGAGATCTGGCTACAAGTAGGGATAGCTCGGAAAGCTGCTATCGTGTTCGTATTCTACATCTGACGGTGCTGGTAATCTTCGCTAACTCAATAAGGTGATGATAACTGGTCCGGAGAAGTCGAACTTCTGTTCCTTTTATATCTCGTTTATAAAGATAAATAAATAAACTAATCAAATGTATATTCTGGCTTTCTTATCAACTTGTCACGAAAGAGTTTCACAATTCAATATAGAAAAAAGTAACCAAACCAAACTAAACGTCATGCAAGAGTTCTTTAAACAAAGGACTGAATAAATAATACATTTATGTCTGGTTTTCGATGCCTTTAATTTGATTAAGTTTAAATTCTGACCAAATTCAGCCCTCTAATGCAATTATAGATAGTGTTTCAGACGGTATTAAACAACTAGAATTAAAATTACAAGTATTCTTACGGCGTTTTACGATACATAATCTAGACTTGGTGAGAGCACTCCTCCAGGCTCTCCAGTTATCACCAATCTACTGAAAACATAGCCATCTCTGAGGCTGGAGATTTTTCTGTCATCTCCTCTATGGTCATCTTTAAAACCTCAAAAATTTCAAAATGATCTTTTACGTTTCCTCTTTTTCTTCTATATATCAAATTTCGATAGATACAGAAGAGTAGGACGCAAAACATATTCATTTAATTTCATTTCAAATTTCGATATCTGTCCACTGCACGTATTTCAAGAGGATAATATTATGCCAGTGCGCATTATTTTATATTTCTACAAAAGTCAACCGATGACCGAAGTATATCAATACTATTTTGTATTATACGGTATATGTTTTTTTTTATATACAATTTACCATCAAAGAACATCAAACAAAAGTGCTTTTGATATTCTGTAATTTTAATAATGAGTTCCAATAAAAATGACACATTATTTGTGGTCTAAAGAGCTATAAAGTTCAGGAATGTTCTGTAATCTTTTAGAACCCATCCCAAAAGGTTTATAACTCTAGTGCGTTCATTTCAGACTAATGAAAATCAGGCTCGTAGCCTGACCTGATTATACGGAGGGGCAAGTTATATATCCAGAGGGGCAATGATGTATGGCGTTTAGCTGCAGTAATGGAATTGGTCGGTTGTCAGAATATTTACAGGTGGGGGGGGGGGAGGGGAATTGCTCCCCCCTCCCTTGACCGATGAGTTACTCTGAATCACCAGTCCCTTGCCAGTCACCCTTTCCTTCCTTACCCCCCTATAGCTACGAGTCTGATGAAAATTATAATCAAATGTAGTTCATGGAACAATAATTTTACTCCCTCTATCGACAAGAAATGACAAAAATAAAATCATGAATGATTTTCCATTGTTTAACAAAAATTTCTAAATCTGTGTAACAGACATGAAAGGATTTGTACACAATTCGCGTTCTTTTGAATTGAAGATGATTATTTAAAATTGATGACCAGACGGCAAGTAAACACCGAGTTTCAAAAACAGAATACAAACTCGGTAAAAAACAATTTCCTTAAGCATGTTTAAGAAGAATACATTAGCAGAATGTAGTAAAATTTCATTCGAGTTTCGTAACAGTAAAGGGGCAGTAAAATACATTCTTACACCAAAAATAAACCAAGTACTAACGATTCAAACTGCAAAACCAAGCCCCAAAACCAAAAAAAAAAAAAACATATTGGCAAAACATTGGTAGCAGCTAATGAATTTTTCACATGAGGAAGTATATCATCCATAAAAGTATTTCATAATGAAAAATGGTATCAGATACCAATGTTTTGCCAATATGTTTTTTTTTTCTAGACGAGTGAGCATACCCCGCCTTGAACCACAGGATATATTTTCACAACATTTAGTCGATCTAAGAGCAATAGCTCATTGCTCCAGCTTACTATTGAATAGAATCTGATGGATGCCCAGTCCGAATCTGCGACCATCGAGTTGGCCGTTGTTACTAGTAGATGGTAAATTGAGCGCTTCGCTCATCGCTCATGTCTACTATAACAGGTCTGATGAGTTTCTCTGAATCACCAGTCATCCTAGAGCCTACCTTTAATCTGTACCATCATCATCTGTTTTTACAAAAGTGTCCTAGTTATTATTTGTGGGGCTATGAAGCACAGTCGGTTAGACCTTTAGGTCGATCGTAGGTCGTGGGTTCTAAACTCGATGACTTTGAATAAGTTCAGTCAACCAAGACCTTTACAATGTGTACGGATAATACGGGAAAGATCACTGCCAAGAGGTCTGACCAAGGACCAGCTGGTCGAAATGATCCTTATGAACGTAATTTGTTATCCTTAAAGTTTTTTCTTTTTCTTGTCTTTCTTATATAGCCTACCCTTTGTTTCAGTTAATTGCCGTGAAACGAATCCTTTGTTTTCGTTTGTTTCTCATTATGATTTGAACTGATGAAGATAGACAGCGACCAACTATATTTAATCTTTTCTTAATTAACACATGTTATGAATCGTTGTTGTTTATCCGATCTTTTAAACATTCTTTTTAACTTGGAAGTTAGAAAATGACCTTGACTATTATTGTGACTAGTACTATACTAGCCTTGCCAGCGGTATTAATTCTCGTCGGAGAATCTGAAGAATGTTAAATTGCTCGAATGTAGTAAATGGGATAAAATGGGGTCTTATATTTCAGTTTGGGGTACTACAGCCAAACTCATCATGTGTGCAGCAAAGACAATAATGCTCCCAAAACCGGCATTAGCTTGCTCCTGTTCTATTTTCAACTGCCGGGAAATCTTAAACATGCACAGCTTCTAGCCACCGTTGTCGGTTTATTGTACAAATGTTTGAGGCTCTTGTTATCGAAGTTCTTCCGACCTGTTTCACTGACAAGGGGAGTTTGAAAACCAGAAGGTATCAAACAAGGGTTGAACCCCAGATAGTTAGGTCACCTTACGTGTCTCATACGCCAAGCTCCAGATCTCACTCAGAGTAATAAGTAAACAAGTGAATGGTCAAAATCCTTAACAGTTTTAAAAAGGAAAAGAGTATAGGGACCAATGATGCTATAAAATTCTCATATTTTCACAATGGAATCTTCAATAATCTAATAAGGTACATAAATGTAGAATGCTGAACAAAAATACGAGGGCAATTTATGCCAAATCTTTTACAATGAAAATGTACTTACCTTCACTGGAACGCAGATTAGAACTAAGAGTAGGTCCGCACTGGCTAAACTGACGAGGAATGTGTTAGTTATATTTCTCATTCGGCGATATCTAGCAATGGAGAAAATAACCAATGCATTTCCCACTATGCCTACCAGCAATGTTATGCAGTACACGATAGCTCCTGGCACAAGTTCCTCTAAAGGTATGGCATAAACAGACTCTTCATAATCATAGTAATAGTAATCATAACCCGTCTGGTTCGTCGAGTTAAACGATCCATTACACTGTTCACAAACTTCATTCAACGAAGTGTTAACATCAAATAGGTTCGATTCCATTTGGTATGATATTGCAGTTTCCGAACACTATTTCTCCCCTAATAAAGGGTGGTCTACCGTTGTACCGTTGTCCGTCTGAGTCATAGGTAGGTAATTAAAAACGTCTATGGCGTCAATAAAGCATTGTTTACTTTGGAAAATCCAGGAAACAAGTCACAAAATTGCGTTTGTTATTAGAAAAAAAGCACCAATTCCGGATCATACCGATGGCATAAAATGACAGATGACAAATCGGGTTTCCGTAGAATTTTCAATTATAGTTAAAAACAGAAAATGTTAAAGCACAAATCAATTCCATGAAAAAAAAAAAAAAACCATCAAGGAAAAGAATCTTGAAATTCGTCAAAAATCGCTGATTTTTTAAAGAATAAAGTTTGATTCACTCAATAAGTAGTAACAACCATGTAAACGTCAGTCTAATACTGGCTGTTCGATAAGTCAAGTTCATCAATGTGAAGTGCGAGATTCTCGATCTTCCCAGTTTGTTCACGTATTTCCCTTTATAACCGTCAACATCTACAGTGATGTTGCCTAAGACCGATTCCTCTGAAAAGATAAGCTTCTGATTTGTCACACTCGCCACTGCAAGCGTTATATATTAGATTCTAGATATCACACTTTTAAGTGTTCACGACACAAAAGCCAAGGAAACAAGGCGACGGCGAAATATGTCTTCACGACACGATGATACTGAAGTCCGGGTCGGTTAAATTTTCTTCGCTATATTTTGATTTCATCGAATGCTACTCAGAAATATACAGTACTGTTATTAAAAAACAAACAAATGCGACTTTGAGCTCGTCAAATCTCCTTCACCTAAGCGTAACAAGATACTGTCTTATGCCCTTCGTCGAAAATTCACTTTATCAAATTAGAAGTTTGGTTCCAGTTGACATAATTATGTAACTAAGCATTCTATCAATATTTCACTATTCCATTATGATAATGCCGCCTACAATGTTGTCTTTAAGCCAATTGACTCTTACGGCTGTATTAACATTTATCAACAGAACAGTTGATTTGACAATGTTTTTGATTTAAAATTGTTTGTTCCATGATGTACGAGAAAGCCTAGCGAACCTTAGATAGGTCAATCTTACAAATAAGAACAGCGTTTTTGTTTTTAAACTTGTCTTTTCCATTAGAAGTTTATTAAATGACGTATTACACGCTTTAAATCCCTTTAAATTTTAAAGTTTGCAATAACACACTTTATTCGTCTGCTTTTATACGCTTTAAAGTTTCAAGTAACACACATAGAATGAAGCCTCTGTTGAAATACACTTAAAACCGTGTTCCTGCAACTTCTGTTATTATACAGTTTATATCTTCTATAATCGTTTGATGTTATACGGTTTAGATACTCTTTATTCTTCTGTTATTATACGCTTTAAAGTTTTAAAATAACACACTTCGAATACAGCTTCTGTTAAAATACACTTAAAATCCTGTTCCAACTTCTATTATTATACGCTTTAGATCCTATTTATTCGTCTGTTATTATACGCCTTAGAGTTTGAAATAACACACTTCGAATACAACTTCTGTTAAAATACACTTAAAATCATGTTCCAGCTTCTGTTATTATACGCTTTAGATCCTCTTTATTCGTCTGTTATTATAATACATCAAACTTCTGTTATACAACTTCCGGTATTTTAAGCTTAAATTTCTATCGCTTTAAAGGTTGTAATAATAACACTAAAACTGAAACTTCTTTTATAATTCACGTAAAATCCTGATGCATCTTTTTTAACATCTGACTTTAAGCCCTTTATTTAAAAATATGCAACTTCACTTAAAATTTTCACCAAATTCTGTTAGCACCCTTTATATTTAAATCGAGCTCTGATTTTAACACAAAACTTGGATAATTAGAATTTTTGAATTTTGTTGGTTCAGAAATATTCGCTAGTCTTTTTCGCTATCACTTGATATCTGAATGGACTTAACACAAACAAGTCAACTGCTTGAAAACATTTGTCTACTCAGACACGCAAACAGTAGCTTCATTCGATCAAAAGAAAGTACTTTTGAAGAGTTATGTTTCTTATTCTTGAAATAAATTCCACTTATCTACAATTAAACTAGACAGCTTAAAGAAACGTTAAACAGACTAGTTATGGACAGTTAAAAGAACACTCACCCGATCGTGATAAGATCGTAGTCTAGGCTTCCGTTACCATCATTAGTCGCATATATTGGTCAAAGTACATCTTGTCCCATCTATCACGAGTGCAATCATGCTTTTAAACATAGAATTGTCAAAAAAGATCTTGAGGACAAATCGCAAACAGGACAATATAAAGTTGCGGATAGACGTGCCAGAGCGGCCACGATTCGCTTCATATACTGTAAAAATATTCTCACACGTCGATCGCACCGGACATCGTGCATCATCTATTCCCACATTTAAACAGTTCATAAACATTTGGTGCGATGAGCACAATGAGTATCCAGCCGCGATTATCGTATCTGATCTGGTCAATGGACCATAAAATATGTCACTAAACGTACGTTATCGTGATCAAAAGATAGGAAAATAAAAACCAACATTCGTTCCGTTTGATAAGCTTTTATTTTAAATATAGCCACATTTTAAACAATTGTCAAAATAACCTTTTGACCTAATATGATGACATCTGTTTTAGATATTCCAATTCCTTCACTCTGTCTGGAGCTGAAGAGTGCAGAAATTTGATTGGTTAAGGCAGGGTTAGGTCAAAAGGTTATTTTTGTGACCAGTCTTCAGACCACTGAAGTGGCTATATTAAAAATAAAGCTAATAAAAACGAGAACGAAAGTTTGGTCAAATTTTAATTAGACATAATATTACGATGTTAATGCCATGGTAATATTTCTATCGCACAATGTTAAAAACGTCATGGACTCATAAGACTATCTTTTAGATTTTATTTCCTCATCCGAATGGAACGTCGAATAATCGTTCTAAAACGTAATCGGATATCTTATATTCAGCTCGATCAACATGCACGTTATTATTTTTAGATATGGTTATATTCCTTTTAAACAAATTACCATTCTAAAGCTGTGATACGGGCTTGAAATCTGAAAAACTTTATATATCACATTATATATACATATCTTTGAAGAATAAAACCTTAGCTTATTATTATCTTGTCGTCTGTCCTGACGTACAACAATACGTTTATTCCGGTATGCCAGACTTCTTTTCAATCCGTGTAATTATACTACATAATAATACTGGATTCGTAGGTAAACTCTCATGAACATGTATGGTCGTCTGGAATAAATTTATCCTTTAATGAATCAAATGCCGCGTTTAGTACTAATAGGTTTATACTATTATCAAAAATTAGATGTAATGAATTATACAAAATACCATTCATGATGTATATTTTTCTGTACATTATGGAAGGGTTTCTATGCCAGAATCAAAGATTTACGTATATTTGCTACATATTTAAATGTTTTCATTCCTTCGCCTTTTGATGTTTTTGTTACTAAATTCCATATTAAATTCAATTTATTTTTAACCAATAAGACTGCATTTCTTTTAATCTTTTACCAAAGATACCTGAGTTCCCAAATTGTAATGTTGAAATTGATAGGAGTATAGGGAGAGGCAAAGCCGGATCCGTACGCCAGTCTAAATTGGAAAGTTAACTGGAATTTCCCCAAAAAGCTGTCACGATACGGATTGTATACCCAAAACATATGTCGACAGCATATGGTTAACCATAGGCACTTAGATATGAGTTCAAGGTCTCTCATATTCCCACCCGTGTTCAGTGGCTGCGCTATAATATGTCTCAAATATAATTTGGAAAGGGAGCCTCAATTCAAATGAAGCAATATGATGATTATTGTATATCCGAAACGCATGAAATGAGATTATTGACCCGGAAGAGCAATTGAGTGTCAAGTGTGGTTTTTAGTTGAAGTGATATTGTCGGATTTTTTCCTTTTGGGAGCAATAAAGAAATTTGGGGAGTGGGGTAAGGGGAGCGATAACTTGTTTTTTGCACTCCCTTGCTTTACATGCCTGATAAAAATTTGACCGATTCCTCCACTGTTGCCATTCTTTCAATAAACGAATAGGATGTCGGAATTTCATCCTGAAAATGTAACTATCAGTTATAAATCAGGATTAAATACATGCCCCTAAGCCATGTACCTTGATAGCCATTCGAGGGCTTCATCAACAAGTTGGAACTGACCAGAAAATCGGTCGATGTGATTAATATTTCGAGGTAAATAAGGAAGTAATATTAAATTGAAGTAAAGATTAACATTTCGTGCTATCGTGACAAAATAATTATTATTCGTTGACATAGTATCAGACTGCTGTTGTCTTCATTAACCAGTCAATGGAACTTATTTCCGTTCACCAGTCGTTTTAGATCCAATAACAACATGCTCATAACAAATAATGATCGATTGATTCCAGATCAGACAACATTGTACTTTAAGAGTAGAGTTTCAGAAGACCGTTAGATGCACTATTGTAAGAGAATAAAGCGGATAGACGGAAGCCAGTGTCCACAAATTGAGGTTCAATCTTTGGACCAGGCTTCAGTGGGATGTGAAGGACCAAATAAACAGATATGTAGATACGAAACCTCTAGGGCTTCAGTCCGCACACATACACGCAACAACAGGATTAAAACATTGTTTGTGGGGTTCTATATAGCACAATCGGTAAGATCGGTGGGTGTTTACTTGACGTCATTTGTATGGTTTGTCGAGCAGATTGCGGCTGTGAGTAGTGGGTTCCGATGTCGATCCGCGTGTGAAAGCCCGTTGACCTTGAATAAGTCTTCTTCACTCATAATGTTAGGCTAGTCCAGCTGTAAGTGGGTACAAATAATCCGGGAAAGATCAATGCCAAGAGGTTTGGCTAAGTACCAGTTGGTAGATTGTGAAGTTAAGTTGTTATCCTTGTTAAATAAAAGTTGTTGTTTCTTTCTTTCCTTCCTTCTTTCTTACCTGTTGCGTCAACGTCGCATGACATTCCA